AAATGAAGAGCCTTCAGAGGTGCCCTATACTCTGCGTAACAGGGTAAGGTCCCGTTACTGAGGGCACCTGGTGCTACAGAGGGCAGGGCTTCCCTGGGAAATGTCTAATGCCTGATCACAGGATTAATGATCAGAGGAGAGGCTGGTCTACACCCCCTGACAAGACCCACTAAAAGGAGAGAGGCAATGGCCCAATGTGATTGATGCAGTGACGCAAGCAGGACAATAGCAGTGAGAACAAAATCACATGATAGCCCAACTTACTCTAGTGCTTATCATGCTTCTAATATTTTCACTCGTGTCCCTGCATTTCTGACCATGCTGCTGGCCATATTACTGCTTATGAACAAGTGTACCCTTCCCAGCAGGGCAAAGAAGGAGACACTGAGCGAGCGGTTCTGCTCCTTCCAGGTTCTGTTTACACAGAGACCCACAGAACACTGAAGCTGGAGAGGCCTTACTGGTCACGTGATTCGATCCTTACTTCACAGATGGGGACATGGATGGCAAGGGAAGGGGGAGGTGGCCACTCCCCTCTCCTCCCATACATGAGTACAAACCGTCCGGGAAATGTTTGAGTTAGAAACCAAAGGAATGCCTCTGTGATAATACTGACTCCATTATCAGTCCTTAATTGTTCTTTCCTGTTTCGTTTGTTTGTTTAAAGAATTTTTTAAAATTTACTATTATTACTTTCACATGAGTTGTGTCAGAGAAAGACAGAGGAAGAGTGAGAAAGCAAGCAAGGACTTGAACCATGATCAGCCGTGTGGGAATTCCGGCACCTTAACCACCATACCACCTGCTGGTCTCCTCCTGTTTCTTTTTAATTAGCCAGCTGGACAGAGAGAGAAAGAAAGAGAGAAATTGAGCAATCAACCCCCCAGGAGGGATGGCCATGCTGCAATCCCTTCTCCTCCTTTCTCTGGTGATTTTGGGCATGCACACATGTACCCAGCATGTTTTCGAAGCTCCCAGGTCTGGGACTCAAACATGTCAGTCCTTTACTCTTTACTTATATCCTCGATTGGCTGCTTCCAATTTACTCTACAAAACAGAACATATTTGGGGAATATCATTTCCAGACTCGGTTGTTCTGTAGGTATGCATTTACTTATTGCTGGATTTAATCTTCTTTCCCACAAACTAGCTGTATATAAGAGGAAATGGACTTGTACCATCACCCCAAAAAGAAGTAGGCGCCCCAAGTAGCTCTCCCTTTTCTTCTCTGCCTGTCAGGAGACTGAAGCGAATATAAGAATCGCGTAGAACAGGCCCAGGGTGTTGTCCATGTGTGAGGAGGAGGGTGGCACTTTGCCACCTGCAGGCACAAACATAGACAAGGCCCTGTTCACTTGACCCACGATGTATGACCCACGGTGTATGACCCACGGCATATGAACGCGGTTCTGTTGTCAACACGGCCTGGCAATGCCTGTCATTACATGCGGGAGTCTGAGCAGGAACCCCAGGCCGGTGGGAAGGGGCAGTAGGAGGGCTGGGAGGGCTGCACACAGGTAGGGAAGGAGCCCCAGAAGGCCAGACGGTGTCCCTGCGCTGGTGATGACAGCAATGATCTATTTTGGTTTTGTTTTTTAATTTTGGTATAAGTTGAGTGTACTTGATAGAGAGAGAGAAAAGGAAAGTGAGAAGGCACCTCCTGGGTGGGAAAGATCACATGGCAATCCCTTTCCTCCCTTCTTCTGTTGGGATTTTGGGCTTATACGCCCATGTGCCTGGTGTGTTTTTAAAGTTGCTGGTCTGAGATTTGAACTACGCAGCTAAGCATGTGGGATCCAGTTGCCTTAACCTCCATGCCCCTGGCTGGCCCACAGTGGCAATGGTATTCAAGCCTACCATATAACATGTGGGAAACAGAGTCTGAGGAAAGTAGATATCCTTACGATCGCCGGGTGGCAAACAGAGACAATACTTGACTTTTTTTAAAAAATTATTATTTTTATTTATTGATCTACTTATTTGTTGTGACTTTTTTCTTTCTTTCTTTTTTTTTTTTTTTTTTTGAGAGAGAAATTTTTACTATAGGGTGTTTGTGCTTCCCAGAGACACACAGAGAGACAGAGAGACAGAAAGCAAGAAACCACCCCTTGGAGGGATGGGCACACTGCAATCCCCTTTCTTCCATGTTCTTCTCAGGATTTTGGGCACACATGCACTGGTGTGTGAATGTTAAGATGTTGGGTCCGGAACTTGAATCGTGATCAACTATGTGGGAGTCCAGCAATGTAATCATCATGCCATCTGTTGATTACTCACTTTTACACTGGGGAAACTTTTGCCTGTGCTGTTGTTTTGCTAGGGGCACTTTAGGGAAGGTAGCAAAAGTCACAGCAGGAAAAAAAACCAAAAAGGGCCCAGCAGATGACATAATGGTTACATAGCTGGACTCCCACATAGTTGACTGCAGTTCCAGTCCCGGACCCAAAGACTTAAAACTCACTCCAGTCATATGTGTGTGCATGCCCCCTGATTGTGAGAAGAGAATGGAGGAGCAGGAATTGCAACATGGCCTTCCCCTTGGGGAGCAGGGGTGATTTCTCACTTTCTATCTCTCTGTCTCCCTCTGTATAGCAAAAATCTCTCTTAAAAACAACCCAGGAGCCCAGTAGTGCTGCAGCTGTTACACAGGAATGGAGTTCTCCAGCCTCCGTTTCTAACGCCAAACCAGCGTGCAGCTCAGTGAGCGAGGACGCCTAAGGCTCTCCATTGGTAGGCAGACTCAGGGGGTGAAGGCAGTTTTGACTGCTGTCATGTGGACAGCACATTCCACACCCCAGACCTAGGTAACACTGGGCTTTGCAGTCCATAAAATTAGTCAGAAGTTTCACAAACCACTCCTGCCTCTCAGCACCCTAAGAGATTTGGATAAGATTGGAGCGTGTCTTCTCTTAGGTATGCTGGGGCAGGAAATGGTAACTCATCGCAGCTGTGATCCTCCACAGCTGATCAACTCGTTCCCTCGCAACTTCCAAACCAACACAAATACAAGGCAAGGTGCATGTGCGATTTAAAATTTTTCTAGTCACACTTAAAAGAAGAAGATGATATATTAATAATGCTTAATATCTGCAAAGTATTTCATTTCAAAAAGTAATCGATACCATGCAAATATACATATACCTGCATGCACATTCGCCCTCTAAGTCTTTAAAACTGGACGTGTATTTGTCTTGTGGTACACATCTCGGCACACAATGAGCCACGTGCTAGTGCTCAATGGCCACACGTGGCCAGAGGGCTCTGCATGGGGCAGCACCAACCTAGACTGTCTTACGGGCCATATGGTCACGCCCTTGTTTCTCTCCCTGACTTAAGTGTACTCGAATAGAAACAGAGTCCACACTGCAGTCCTTCCTGTCTGGCTCGGGACCCTTCGGGTCTTCATTGCATCTCGCTCTCCTCCAATCGTCCCTTCAGCCATCAAGCATCATGGTATCTACCAGAGCTGGGGATCTGTGCTAACAGACAAGGATACAAAGGCAAGATGGGAGCCCTGACTTCCAGAAGCTGTCGGGTTAGTGGAAACGCAGGCACAGACATGAAGATGTGAAGGCTGCTGCGCAGACACCCACAGAGGGATGCGCGAGGAAGGAGCAATGTTTCTTCTGGGGCTTCTGAGGGGTAGTCACGGAGGCAGACTCTGGGTTGGGTTTTAAGGGATATGGAAATGAGTGACGGAGAAAAAAGCAGTATGAGTGGCGTGCCGCAGGAAAAGCACACCACAGAGGGTCTGGAGTGCGCAATGACGCCTGTGCTTACTGGGTCCTGGGGTGTAATTAATTATGGGGTGCAATTCTCGGAGCAGGGAAATCTCCTGGTGAGTGGCCATACAGACTGAGGGAGCTGAGAGGTAAGGCGATCCTGAATTACGTAGGTAGCAGTAATGTCTAGCACAGAGGAGCTGTGACATCCAAGTGAGTAAAGGGAATGGAAGAGCACTATTTTCTGAAGATAGTCTTGGCATAGCATTCTGACGGAACCTGGGCAAAGGGCTTACTTATTCAGGTTTTCCAGGCCCATTAGAGGCATTAGGGTCAGTAGCATGGTATTTGTATAGGACTATGACAATCTGTGTGGGGCCGGCCTCTTGGCCTGGTGGTTTAAGGAGGTGGATCCCACGTGACTAACTGTGCAAGTCAAATCCCGACCCTTGAGGTTTGACAAACATGCCAGGTATTTATGGGTGTGTGTGTGTGTGTCTGTGTGTGTGTGCCTCAAATCCTACAGGATGGAGAAATGGAAGAGGAGGATTGCCACACAGTGTGACCAGGCCCCATAAGGGGGTGCTTTCTCCCTCTCCCTGTTTCTCTGTGGTGAGTGCACATGCCCTCTGGCAAAATTAAAACAAACAAATGAAACAAACCAACAATCTGTTGTGATCTGAGTCCCAAATGTCCCTTTGCCCTGAGAAATTAATAGGGTTCCTTTAGAAAGTAATAGGGCTTCATTTAGGCAGTAGGCAGAATAAGCTGAATTATGTCCAGGATTGCTCATACCCGTGAGGCCCAGCAGGTGCCCGACCACCCCTGGCCAGGCTGATCACATGATTTGGTAGCCACACTACCCTGAAACCCAACTACGATTTATTAGACTGTAAAATTTCTGGAAGAAGGCTCTGGAGCTCTTGGGTAAGAACAGGGAAACACAGGACATCCACAGTGAGGAGAAGCCATGGATCCGCGTTTGTAGATGGGGAACGCAGAGGCGGAGAGTGAAATGGCTTAAAGCACAGCCAGCCAGTCAGTGGCAGAGAAGAGAGCAGAATCTGCCTTTCCTGACTGACAATCCGGTGCTCCTGTCACAGCACGCAGCCCGCCGAGCTACCGGAGCCACAGTGAGAGTAGTGGCACGTGTCATGAAGAACTGTTTGCCTTTACAGCAACTCAGGTGGGAAAGCAAGCTGGGCTAGGGACACCCTAGGTAGTAACCATCTGTAAGAGCCAGAGAGCAACTACAGCAGCAATGAACTGGGTACTCACACGGTGAAAAGTCTACGAAGTACGGGTCAATGTTATGCAGCAGCTCCGTTCTGGGGGACGGGCTTCCTTCGCTGGAAAAGAATTTTTTAGGAAACATTAATTTCCTCTCTCAAATAGGCATGTGTTATTTTAATACTTCCTTTCATTGTACTTGTCGGTAATAACAAACTTGCCAGTTAACTATCTTGCCATGAATTCAGAGATTTCCGAAATCCGTGCCTTCGAGAAGTCATCACTTGTCTACATCGTAACAACTGAACACTTTACTGGAGAACTTCAGTGGCCAGCGTATGACAATATGAAAGGAAAGGAAAAGAAAAGAAAAAGAGTCATGGGAATCAGCAGTTAGCATAATGGCTATGTCGCTGGACTTCACGTAGTAAGTGGCTAAAATTCTGGCCTGTCAGATGGATTTCCTTAGTACTCTATCTCCTATGACAAGAGAAGATTCAACACAGATTTGGTTGGAGAGAACATGGTTTAATTAAAGGCAAAGCTGATTTCAGCAGCTGCAGGTCTTGCACAGACAGACAGAAAAAAAAAAAAAAGTAAAACAAAACCCCAAAAAAAAAAAAAAAAAAAAAAAAAAAAGAAAGAAAGAAAGAAAAAAAGAGTCCTGTGACCCTTTGCGATAAACATTGTGGCTATATTTAAACATGACCATTCTTTTTGTTGTTGTTGTTGTTGTTTTTGTTATAGGGCACATGTGCTTGCTGGAGA